AGAGGCCCAGCTCAGAGATCAGTAAATATTTATTGAAAGGATTTGTTGAATGAATAACAATGCTCTCCTCTGAGATGAACTCTTATTTCCCTTCCCTCCATGTTTAAAGATTTCACAATCTACAGAGAGGTTTCATGGAGGGGAGTAAAGAAGAATGGTTCCTGAATGCAATACTGATGACACTGGAACATCTGTCACTCATTAATCACAGAAGTGATTTCACCTGGCTGTGCCTTCCTTCCCCCATTAAGGATGGCTGCTCATTCTATTCCCCAATCACTGGGAGTCCAGAAGGAACATCTGCCAATTAGAAAAGAATCCGATATGCACACAGGTAATGGGCATTTGGGAATAATCTTCAGAACTATGTGACACATGAGGTTGAAAAGAGGAGGGAATAGAAGAACCAGAATCCCCTTGAGATCCTGGGGAACAGAGAAAGAGAGTGCGAAATCTGGGAACATCTTGGATAGTGATAAGGAAGATTTAGAAGATATTCCTTCTTTCTATAACCCCTCTGGACAGAAAGGAAAAAAAAAAAATCACATACAAACTGCATCAGTGAAATGGATGAGTTCAATTTTGTATCTCTGGTGATGAATTTAGTCTTTGTCTTTACCCTCTTTTGCATTCAGTCTTATTTAGACAGGAAGCCCGCTGAACCGAGACAGGCATCGCCCACCCACCGTACAGAGCTAAGTGCACTGTCACTGTTGTATAAATCGCCTTCTTCTTCAGGATAATAACAATATAGATCATTCCTCTCTTCCGGGATGGCAGATCTCATGCTCATTTATAACATTTTGGACATCCAATTCAGTTTGCATCTTCATATTTAAATACCTTTGCATTTGTAATAATAATAATCATCATAATAAACTAAAGATGGTCGGCATATTTCACTTTTGAGACAGGGGGCTCAAAAACCCAAGGTAGAATTTTCTATCCTATCTATTTACCCTATATTGAATATATTATCACGATGGTTTACTGACTGCTTACTCCTTACTTTAGGTGAGATTTTTTTTTTTGGGGGGGAGGGTGTTGGGATTAAACCCAGGGCCTCATGCATGCTGGGAAAGTACACTACCACTAAGCTACATTCTCAGTCCATCTTCTCTACTTTGAAGGGAGTCTTTCTAGTCCGCAAATTAAATGCTCAAATTCATCATTTTCTGTGTCTTATAATTTTGCATGTACATTAACATGAATAATAGAGAAGTTTCTTAAATTTGGAGAAAATTTTAAATATTTTGAATCCCCCATAGCACCTCAAAATGGTCTGTTCATATGAATTAGATGGATGTTAAAACTTATGCCGAGGAAGGTAATTTTCTTATATCTCTGTGTGTAAGAATATTCTTGTAAAGAATAATTGCTTAGCATTTTTTTCTTTTTCCAAGTAATGTCTGTTTCTTTTCTGAACTATCACAAAAATTTTGAATCATCCAGTATTCTAAGCATATTTCTGTGTATTTATGAAGTCAAAACAATCCATTTGAAGTAAGAAGGCCTGTGAATGATGATTTGATATCAAGTCAGCAAATGCAACTTCTCATATTATTTTACTGAATTGAAATCATGATTTTAGTAACACTGGATGTTTGAACATGAATATACTGAAGTTCCTATCTGGGATAGCCTTGAAAAACAAGTTCCAGACTATTATGTATAAAATGTCTCTCTACCTGGAGACCATTTTGGAGATATGTATACATCATTAAAAAAAGTAGTTTTGAGAGGGTAAAAAACCCATTACTGTGAATTGCATATGCCAACATATGTATGAAATTGATACGAGAATTGAATTTTTTTTTTCATTTCCTGCATGGCTAACTAAAACCATGGTAAAAACATCTGCATATGTTTACTATTAAAGCATCTTAAATAGATTCAGGATATTCCAAAATAATTATGCAGTTTTTCTCTATCTGTAACACTAAGATATAGCATTGATCTTGGGAACTAAATGAATGTATCTTTTCTTAACCTCATCAGAAAAGATGAGATGATTTGAGGCAAATCAGAGAAACTACTGTGCATATCAGTGAAGAGATAAGTTGTGGAGTGTTTTGAGTATAAAGTAGGAATCTGGCTCTGGTTTTAAATTTTCCAGTTTGAATTCTGTCAGGTGGAAAAACAATAGCTACTCTCAGTTTACACTCTTCAGTATATGTTCAACTTCTATGGCAGCTCAAGCACTCCCCAGAAAAGGCACAACTGATGACCTGGGCCATCTCTGTATTGTAGTGAAGTTGCAGCTTTATAAAGTGACAACTGTCAGTTTAGATTCTCACAAGGGAGAGTAAAAAGAAATTAATCTTTGTCATTCCAATGGTTCCCTTATTTTATTGTTATTATGAACCATTCTGTGGAAAGGAACAGCATAGTGTCACCACAGGTTCATCAAACTGGAAGCTAAAGGTTAAATGAATTTCTTATACTGAGCTCATGCAGGGAAAGATGCTCACACATCTCCACGTAGCCCAGAGATTGATCTGCATTGACTGGACACCTGCCTTTATTTAGCAGCTAAGTGCCTGTGATTAGAATATGGAAAGCCATGTTATTCATTTCTTGAGAATATCAGGAGAAAGTTAACCTTTAAATTAACTGTCTATCTACCTAACATCTATAGAAAAAAAAACATATATCAGAGCAAAGAAACATGATAAAAGCCTTAAAATTTTCCAGGAATGGCTATTTTTGAGAGATGTTAAAAAAAAAAGTAGCAATGCTAATATCCTGTCAGGTTGCCTGAAATGTCTATGACTTTAGAAACAAGCAGTGATAGAGTGCTATCTCTAGAAAATTATTGAGAGAGTACTTACTTTTGTTTCCTATTTCTTCAAGGAAAGAAATTAAGTGAGCTGCTGGAATTCCTAGATCCAGCTAGAGAAAGACTGGGAACTGGAACTATCTTCTGATTTCCAACTTAACTTTCCTTTTTTTGAATCTTACCAGGAATCCTACCTTTGGCTTTCAAATTGTTAAAAACTCATATGACTGCTTGCAAATGAACACTTTGCATTCCTATTCTTTAAAATTTTAATATAAAGTAAATTTGCAGATGTTTTCAATTATGACAACTAACAAATAAATCCCAGAGGAAATGGGATGTAGAAGAGACATCTGGATAATAATGGTGTTAGAAGGAAGGAGTTTGCTTCCAATCTAGATGCGAGGATAAGAAAAAAGCAACAGTCTTACATTTTCAATGTGTCATGCAAGTGCATGTGTTTCTGATCAACACCGAAGAATGAAGAGCTGTGTTTAATTCTTCTAGTTATGTGGGTATTACAGAAATCCATGCAAAATTTAACGTTCCTTTGAGAAGAGGTTTCAAAAGCATCCATTATACTGTACCAACTCGAGGCAAGAAAATCAGAATGCTGGTTTGGGACAAACTTACAGACAATTGTCAATGATTAAATCCTTTAACCTGTCCTGTTGGTTTATTTCTCAAGAAATCTTGTCCCAATCCCAAACAAGGTATGTTTGTATAAAAAGTAAATTAACTCAGCTTTTCTCAGTCTGATCATAATCCCCAAACACGGAGTAAGGACTGCCTGAGTGGAAAATCAGTAAGGGACACATCTGGGACACAGTCTTTGATGCATAAGAATCAATTAAAAATAAGCAAATACTACTCTGTGTGAAGCAGTGATTCTAACGAGCTACTCAGTTCAATCTGTTGATGTGCACATGGAAATAAAGTCAGGAGAGGGAAGGCTTCCAGAGCCCAATTCTCACTACTTTAGGTCCTTTTGTGGAGTTAATTACAAGTCTTCGCCTTTTTTGTCCAAGCGAATCACTCAGAACCTCTGAGCTGTATGCAAAATGAAGGGAGTGACCAACTCTGTAGATTGAAGACTTGTGCCCCAATATTAAATAAAGTAGCAGTTCTTTGTAAAGCTAAATATTGACTCTGAGAAGTAGTCATTAAGGAATCCACATGTTATCTCCTGTGAAAGACCCCAGAGGAAACTTTTTGTTGCAAAGGCCACTCTCTTTAATATGTTCCTTCAAAAGGTCCGAGGTCTAAGTTCACTTTCGATCCTTGCCACTTCTTTCTCAGACATGATGTAAAACTTGTTTGGTCCATTGTTTTCTGATGAGAAACACTTTAAAGATTAAATGGTATAAAAGTAAAAATGCTTGGCACAAATAAGCCTAACAGAGGGCAATAGGAAAAACTTACTATGGAATTATTTCTCTCTTTCGTATAGCTGCTAACACTCATTCCTTCCCTGTGGGCTCCATTTGGTCCATTTCAGCTGGGAAGAGTGTGTGTACTCTTCTTACCTCTTTCTTTTTTGTTGTCCCAAGAATTTGCATGTTGTCTCATGCAATTCACTAAGGAGAGAGATTATCTTCAGAGGCAGAAATTATATTAAAAAAAATCTGGGAATACCACACTTTTGAAAGGTTTCAGAAATATTTTTACTAGATCTATTACTTTCTGACAAAAAAAAATCACACCTGACTACTATGACTGTAGTGTGAATATGCTTTTAAATTGTTGAGCACAATACAAGGAGATTTAGTTGTGGCTATTTACTGGAATATAGCATATTACACTACCTTCACCATCAGAGAGATCTTAGCAAACATTTTCCGACTAATTTTGGCAATATGGTACTCGCAAAGCTCAACTGAGCAATTCCCTTTGAGAGAAATTCCAAACCTTCACCCAAACCTCACAGCACTCCCTTTGTTCAATAGGGAAATATTTAGTTATTTTGCTGCCACTTTACAACATTTAGACAAAAGGCCTGGTCATCATTCCATGAACTAGTGTGAAACATGATTAGAGAGAGAAACATATTTGAAGGGCAAATATCAATGCACTGATGCTTCAATATAAAGAAGGTTGGAAGCTTGCACTTGTAACAGCAAAATAGAACAAGGAAACACTCGAGTTAGACTGAAGCAGCTCTGGTTTCTCTTTCTTGAACCACTTAGTCTTAATATAAAGTCCAAGGCTCTGAGGCACTTACCAAACAAAAGGAGTGGACTAAGTGCATAGGTGATGGACAGGTGGATGTGGCTTCCTGATGACCTTCCACAGGTGGTTGCCTGTTCTGCCTATCCACAGCTTCTTTCCTTCCTTCCCACAAAGCATCTAAACCAGCTTCTTGCTTCCCCAAGTGTGCAGTATGAAGGGAATGTGTTAGCTCCTCGCTTGCCTTTGGAACCTGCCTTTGATGAGGTTTCTTCTCTCTCAGTGGAGATCTGTGACTGATTCGCCTTCATTTCTTGGCAGCAATCAGCATGTTTCCTTGCAGCTCAGCAGAAGCGCAAACCTGCTGCCTCCTGACTTTTGAACTGGCGACCAGGCTTTCGTGGAGTTCCTAGGGAGAGCCATGTGCTCAGCAGGTCCCTGGGAAGATTACAGAGTTCAGAGATGACACCAATGATGTGGTTGGAGGTGTAAGCAAGGAGCTGAGACTTCATGGCCCAGGGAGTCACTGCAACACATTTGATGTTTCCAGCATATGCAGACATTAGTATTGCATTAATGGGAGAATGTTATGTGGGGGGTTATGTAGCAGAAAATCCAAAGTTTGGTTGCAGCCTTTTCTCCTACAACTGGTTAATTAGACATGGGAAGAGCATATGAAGTCTTACTTCATATGCTTAGAATTACTAACCTTAACGTTTTTATATGTCAGGCAAGAAAATAAAGTATTATTGATACTTCCAGGGGAAAATTTCATTTGAATGTACTTAAAACTTTAAAATCAACTTTCATCATGTTTGAAATTCTATATTTGATTTTTCATTTAGTTGATTAATAAAGGCATGTTTATTAATTCTCCTGTGGCCTGGGGGGGGGGAATATTCCATGAGGAAGAGGAAGGTACATGGTTTGTTTACTTCATGTGTCCTAGAATTGTAGGTCTGAGAGAGAAAAAAAAGGAGCATATCTGCATGGTGTAGGTGAGGGGCACCTGGTCAATGCAGCTCCAAGGGCTCCTGTGATTGTCTTCTGAGGAATGCTTACCTTGTTTTCTTCTTTGCAAACAAAGAGAAATATACTTTATCTGATTACTTATTAGCAATAGGAGCCTAGAGCATACAAAGGGCTAACTAAACTCACAATTAATTGAATAAATATCTAAATGAGTGATAATGTCACATTTTAAAAATAGTAGCACAATCACTGAGTGGGGTAGCTCACTCCTTTTCAAAAAAAAGAAGCTCTTTCCCTGCAATATTCTGAATTCCTTGAATTTGGGGACATTATTTCCCAGACTCCTATTTCTAAGGTTTTCCCCTTATCAAATGTTATTAGTCTTTTTTCAGGTTCTTAACAACTTTACTGGGTTCTTTTCATCTGCTATCAAAGTGTATTCACTTACAAAGCTCTGAAATCAGTCTTAGACACCTAGGTGGGAATGGAAGTCACTTTGTTTCTTCTCACATGTTTTTTTTCTATATTTCTTCATTGTATTGCCCCTGTTGTCTTCCTGTGTCCCTACAGCACGGTCTCAAGAACCTGTCAAAGTCTGGTAATAGATTTCAAATCATCAAGACTGAGAAGGAGATGGCCCAGTGCTGACTGCTGCTCTGAGTCCTGTGGTATAAAGAAGATCCTGATTCCCCAGTGAAAATCAAAGATCTTCCACAAATCACTCCATTCTTTAACCTGTACTACCTCTTTCTTACTTCTTAAATTCCAGTCCTAAGAATAATGTTACTGACCAAAACAAAATTGACCAACAAACAAAATCTACTCTAAACCTGGAGATCTACCCATCCAGTTAATCAAGGTAAGCTATTCATTCCAAAATCAAAATCTATATGTGGTCTTTGCATTTCTCTCTTCTCCTCTCATCCCTATAAACCAACCTGCTGATATTTCTTGGATGAATACTTTAGCGAGATATTCGCTTTCCTGCTTTCATTTCATTTTTATCTTTCAACCAAGAGACCTAAACCATCTTATCATGTCACTCCTTCCCTGAAGAGTGATGCTGGTTCAGTCTATCTCTCCATGCTCTTATCCCACTATTTTCCATGTCCTTCATCACACCCCAGTTACCCTGGTTTCCAACACCTCTTAGAACAAAAGAAGCTATTTCCCGACTTCAGGGCTTTACAGACATTCATCTATAAATGGAACACTATTCCCCATTCCTTCATCCATTGTTTTCCTGTATTCTTTTAATTTCTTTCCAATGTTTTCTCTTTGTGTGTGCCAAAGAAGAACACTGGTCTGTCTTGTTTTGTTGATAGAAATTGTAATCTATATTATAAATCGCAACAGCAAAGGAAAATAAGTACTCTGCATTTGGGTAAGTCAGAATTTGTATTGCCTTTCATTGTCATTCACATAGCAGATATACTGAGGGCTATTTATCCCAGCATGAGGAAGAGGAAGAGAAGAAGATTGCTTTCCCTAAGCTCTCAATTCAAAATTTAATTCTATGTACAATAAACACTGGTATAGAAACAAAAAACACTGGGATAAATTATCAAGACTTTTGCATAAGGAAGAGCTGGTTTGGAACATCAGCTATGCCACTCACCAGCTTCAGAAAGCTTTGTCATCTATAAAATTCTGCTATGAATACCTGCATTCTTGCATTTTAGTGGCAATTAAATGAGAATGTTAAGTGAGCAATAAATGTCATAAACCTCCATAAATACTTACTTTCTTTTGTTGATAGACATATATCACTGTGGGACCCAACTCTCAGAAAATACTTTCCCAAAATACCTGATGACAAATCCTGAATATCAGATACCACTGTGGAGTAATTCTGAGGTGGAATTTGGCATTATTATTTGGGTGGTTTGTTTCTTCTCTGGCTCTTTCAAGACCTTAACTATTTCTTAATTCTATATACTTGATTTCAACCTAACTTCATGCAAGCAATTAAACCCAGAGCCATTTGTTTTACCCAGTGGGTCATTCATAGATAAATGTAGTTAATAGAGTTGGCTAAACGCTTACTTAAAAAGTCACATATTTAACCACATGGGTACACCAAAATTGACTGCGTATCACAGATTTCTGCTTGCTACATTCATTAACTTGGAAATTCTTCCTGGGATGGTGAGCTCTTTTGCCCAAATGCAGAAAACTACATATAGGTGATAGCCCCAGTGTATGCTCTTAGTTTCCTATAGTATTCCTTTGAGCAGGGATAGAATAAGAATGACAGAGCAGGATAAGCCAAGCTGCCATTCATTTACAGTATTTAATTGAATGCCCTGTCTTTGTACTTTATCGGTTATTCCTGGCCCCCAGGGACACTGGGCAGTATGAGTTTCTAAGTCACAATTCCATTCACTAAGTGTGTTCTGGAGCTTGTAATGAGTTTGTCTAAAGCCTTTCACACCTCTGCTTTCCATAGAAGGTTCATTTACCTTTCTGAAACAGAACAGAGCTGTTTTTAGATTTCCCTGATTTCCACAGACAAGTCACTCCTGGGAGCCAACTGTAGAAAATGTTCGCTAAGGCACATTCTTAGCTGACTGGCTGATGGGTGAATAGGGAAAAGCAGCCAGAAAGCCCATGTCCTGTATGCTTTGTCCCAGCCTCAGAGTTATTAATTGTACATCATAGCATTCTCTTTCCTCTAAATACATGTCTAACTCTTTTATTAAAACTTCATACTAATTACTTCCATCGCATCCCTCGATGGGTTGATTCCATATGCAATGTATTAATTACTCTCTCTGCTAAGACTCTAACAAAAATTCCTCTGGTGCCTGTCTCTTATTGCTTCTTAAAATTGTGTCCCTTCATTTCCTTTACTTGGTGATAACTTATTTTAGTTGCTTTTGCTCCTGTTCTACCTTCATCTTAAAACAGTGGTCACACTCATAGAAGAGATTCCCAACAAAATAGAGCAAAATGGGGGTTCCCAACTTGCAAGGATTTTTTTCTATTTCAGCAACCCATGAAGCCTGCAGGACATTGTGATGGGCTATTGTCTCTCCAGGTCTTTAACAACCTGGGGACATGAATGTTTCTGTTCAGAATTCTGACTCAGGGTAATATGGCACTGCTATCTTCCAATATCAATGAATAAGGGGAGGCTAAGGTGATAAGGAAGAAGAGTAGCATGAGGATCAAGGAAAACAAGTAAGAAGCAAGACATCTTCCTGGTGAACAAAGTCTCCTATTTTTGCTCCTATTTAGCAGAAAACAGCCATAGAAACCTTTTGCAGTGATCACAGCAGACTACATGTTTTTTGTACATAGTGATAATGGACATTACTACATAGACAATGAGAAAGGGCTCAGGTCTAATAACACAGAATCAAACAGATGATCTGCTTCTTGTTATTACTCAGTTCCTTTGCACTCCTCAAGAAATAAATAATATTTGACTCAAGTCAGAAATGTGTAGGCAACCTAATGAATTATACAAGATCTTTACCCTGGTGGTATATTAATGATTTTGGAAAACTTAGAAGCAAATCTGCTTTCTTTGTCAATTGTCTATGTGATGGAAATATGTCACAGTTTTTGGTGTTTGAAATGTTTGGGAGACCACAGTTCTGAAAACTTGATTTCCATCTTATTTTCTATTAATACAGGTTGAGTTATAAGTAATACTGTTTACTGGTTGATCAGAATGTGAACTATGTGTTCAGAGGGCAATCTATTCAGATTAACATGGGGAATGAAACATCCTTACTTTATTGGCTTTAGAACTATGAAAAAGTCTCATAGCCCCTTGCTGCCTGTTACTTGAATGGACAAAACAGTACCAACATTGAATCAGCTAAAGTCAGTAGGTCTGTGTATTCTATTTCCAATTTAACTAGCTGCCTCTAAGCTTCTATTTTATAATCTGTAAAATTTGAGTAGTATCTGCCTTATCTACATTTTAAGAATCAACATTCTTTCATGATCATAAAATTTTAACATTGGAGAAAGGCATAATCATTATTATCATTGGCATTGATCAACCTAGGCACAGCCTACTTACAGATTAGTCCTGGATTTATGTCTCCTTCTTTTTTGTTCTTTACTTTGAAAGTATAGGTACACATTGTTTAGTTTTAGGAATCAATTGTTTGGATCCATCCTAATTCTATTCTATTCCATTCTACTCTATTCTTGGTGTTACTTCATTACACTCTATTTTACTTATGGTACATCCTTGATGAATTAGGTAATCTCATTGGGTGCCTGAAGCCTATAAATTAATTCTGAGAAGTCTAGAGCATTTTGGAAACACCTTGCAGTTCACATTAATTACATGGAGATAGTTCTTCTCAACTATTCTGTGAAATAACTACACATTTAAAGCA